TGCCCCCCCGGGCTGTCGCCCCCTCCCCATACCAGCAGGCCTGGGAGAGGGATGGCCGGCACAAATCCCTGGGTGATGGGGCCTCCCCCCTCCAGCCTGTGGACTTCCCTTCCCCCGGACAGGGAGTACAGCTCCCCCGAGGGCCTTGCCTGCATCAAAACAGCACCTACTTTGGACCTGCCCATCCTGAACTGGTGTGCCACCAAGCAGTAGCTGTCTGGGTGGCCAGCTTCCACAGGGCAATGGTGACCCTCTTGTTCATGGTGGTGGCGGGCCGCAGCTGGGTGTCACGTCTCAGGAGCACAGGGGCTAGCCAGCCACGCAGTTCCAGGAACGTCTGCTTCTGTATCCTGAAATTCTGGAGCCACTTCTGGTCATCCCATTGCTCAAGGACCAGCCGGTTCCACCAGTCGTAACTGGTGTTGAGTCTCTAGTAACACCTCTCCATGGTCGGGTAGGGATGCCACAGCGAATCCACCGCATCTGGGGAGAGGGAGTCCAGAGTGAGCTCGGCGTCAAGCTCGTGCAGGAGTAGCGAGGCAGCATGGAGCAGCAGTTGCATGCACTCCAAAATGGCCATGTGGGGCCAGAGCAGGCACAGTGTTACCTCTGGTTCCATGGCATAGCAAGGAGAAGGCAAAAATCCACAAAAGCACTAAGGCACAAGCTGTGGTGTCCAAAGAGGCACAGGGCAACCACAACAGGCACTGCTACAGCTTTCAGTCCCTACAAGAGGTCCCAAAGCACGCAGCAGCAGAGAAACGGCGGTCCAGGGGGATCCCTTTAAGCACGTGTCTCAGAGGAGCTCTAGCCTCTGCCCCTGGAAGGTCCTGGTGCCCTTTTGCCCTGTCCAAAGTAGTTCCGAGGAGAAGTCTTTGTGCAAGAGCATCCTGCCAGTGTGGAAGCTGTCTTGCTCAAAAGTGCATGGCTTTTGCAATGCGCTTTGTCCAGTGTGGACGTGCTTTTGCACAAGAACTTTTGCGCGAAACGGTTCTTGCACAAGAAGTCTGCATTGTAGATGTAGCCTCTCGGTTTAGTGATGGGGAAGATTGAGGATATAGAAGGAATATGCTCCTTCTACCTGCTATTGATCTCAGTCCCCCTGTCTTTAAACAGATGTGTCCAACTAGCTGATTCTCTGGGTCTGTGCTCTTGTCTGTTAATTTATCTTGCCTTTTAGTTTTAAACAGCAACATTTTATTTTTTTCTAGTGGAAACTTGATGGACCCACCTTTTCAGAGCCAAAAGAAATTTGGAACCAGTGTCACAAAGCTGGATAAGAAAACCATCAGAGGAAAGAAATACGATTCAGATTCTGATGATGACTAAACACTCAGCTAGAAATCTTTGTATATCATTCTTTGTTTAAACTGGATACATTTCTAGGAATGTTTTTCTAGTCTATTGATTTCAGTATGTTTGCACATAATACTCCATTTTTCTGTACAATTTATAAACAAAATCACATTTTGAAGACATTCCAAATATTTGTTTATTTTTAAATGTCATTTATAGGTTGAAAATCTGAGCCCCTTTGAACCAGGTATCATCTGAGAACTGACTATATACATTTAATTCGTTTCAAAACATTTCAGTAATCTGTACTTCAGTGGTATATGTTTTATACCATTTATCATATTTTCAATAAAGGAAACTTTAAAGGGTCAAGAATTGCAAAGAACTTGATGGTGCAATGTATCTTACAGCATTGCTTGCCTTATAGTGCCATAGTGTAGCATTGACTAATTTAACTACATTGGACTAGGAACTGTAAAAACAATTTTAGCTTTTGTTATTTTTCGATTAGACCCTCAAAAGAAATTCCCATTTACCAAGAATGTACACTGCGTGTTGCAGCTTGCACCAGCAGGTAATAGTACACAACAAGTGTACAGAAAACACCTTGCCTGCAGAGTTATCTGATATGAAAATTCTGCGATTGTGAATTTTAGATGATTGTATAAGAGATTAGGCAGAATAAGAACAGCAAGAGAGACAATGTTTGTTAGTTTGTTTTTAAATTTGATGCAGTACAGTTTATTGCTCTGTTGCGCTTTAGTAACCAATAAGAGATCTTCAAATAATTGTAGCTGAGTTACAGATAAAACAAGGGAAACTGCAGAAAAATAATTAATAGAATTTTCATAATAGCAGTAATTTGGAAAAGGTGCAGTAGACCTGTTTCTTGGCGTGATATAAATAGTCAACTACTATGCTTTGCCTGTGGAGTTTTTTTATAACCAGACAACTTTATGCAACTATATTACATTCATTTTAAAAAAGTGATGAGTACAATATAAAATTAAGAAAACAATGTCTAATACAACTACTATAGAAATCAAGGCAAGTCATTTTAGCCTTTTACATTTTGTAGGCATTAAATGTTAGTGCAGTACACCCTGCTACAGTGGTCTCCTTCATGGCCTCTCCTAGCTTTGTGAAAACTTGTCCATACTGAGATACTATTTGCTTAGCATCCACAGAATTAGGCAAGATCAATAGTGATTGTTTTGTTGTCTCTGAAGATCATTGAAGTACGAATGGAAGAAAAAGTGTGTTGCAAACCTCAAAATGTATGCAAAATTGTGGACTGTGCAAAGTAAGCTAATTTAAAACAAAATTGCAATGGAAGCCTAATATTTAAAAGTTGCAATTTCCACAATATCGCAAGCGAAGTAGGATTTTAGTAATAGAAGTATCTTTTTTCAGAAGAAGTCTCTCTCTGTGAAGCTCTGAGGCCAGCATGCAGTTCAATTTGCCTAGCTGAGGAAAGGATGAGTTTTTTCCTTCAGTGTTCATAAACACTAGTTCTTAATTTCCTCTTGGGAAATAAGCATCGTTGGCAATTCCAGCTTCTTTTGGCCCATCAAGCAAGATGAAGACTGAAAATCTAATCAGTCTCACTGCTTAGTAGTGAAGAATACTTACCAATGGGCCAGCCCACCAATATATTTCTCTTAAGTCTGTAAAACGTAATTATATTTTGTTTCAATTCATGTACATTGAAATAAAGTTATTTGAAATCAGATAGTTTAGCTTGTTTGTAATGCTTTTTATCCAGAGAGCTGTGTGCCAGTCACACATTTTAAGTTTCTTTTGACTTTTTAAGAGAGCATCTGCTAGTTAAAATTTTATCTTAGCAGTGGCACACTTATTTTGTTGAAAGAACAATACATCCACTTGAGACCAAATCAAGTGCTAAAAATTATTTTCTCTGTTGGAGGAAGAGAAGTGCCAAAACAGGTTTTCTGTGCATTCAAATCTCATGTCAGTATACAGTGTTTGGTGGTGTGATCTTAAAATATAGTTGCAGAGAGAAGAGTCCTGTTCTTGCATCTAGTTTTGCTCGAATGAATGAATGTAATAGTTCACTAGTAGTTTCACATACCACAACAATAATCAGACATTTGTAGGCTGAGTTCTGCTGCTTTGAGTAGACTGGGAAAACATGCAACATCCATCTAGGGAGGCTAATGATGGCGAACGAAATTGCAAATCAAGCCCGGGATTTAGATATCCCATGCTTGATTTGCATGTTCCCGGCCGGTCGCCATTTTAGAAATTGACTAGCCTGAAGTAACTGCCCGTGTCTACACGCGGCAGTGAAACGGGATTCCGATTTAAAGCCCTAACTCGAATTAACTGGTATTCCTCCTGCAATGAGGTTTACCAGCTAATTTGATTTAGGGGCTTTAAATCGGAATCTCTTTTCACTGCCGCGTGTAGATGCTGGCAGTTACTTTGGGCTAGTCAATTTCTAAAATGGCGACCGGCCGGGAACATGCAAATCAAGCATGGGATATCTAAATCCCGGGCTTGATTTGCAATTTCGTTCGCCATCATTAGCCTCCCTAGATGGATGTAGGGGGCTAGTGTAGCTTTACCCTTAGTCATCATCCTGAGCGCTACATCCTGGCTGCGTCTAGTTTGGCATGATTTTCCGGAAAAGTTTTCCGTTAAAAGCATTTTTGGAACAGAGCGTCTAGATGGGCACAGACGCTTTTCCGCAAAAGCACTTTTTGCAGAAAAGCGTCCATGCCAATCTAGACGTGCTTTTGTGCAAAAAAGCCCCGATCGCCATTTTCACGATCGGGGCTTTTTTGCGGAAAACAAATCTCAGCTGTCTACACTGGCCCTTTTGCACAAAAGCTTTGCACAAAAGGGACTTTTGCCTGAACGGGAGCAGAATAGTATTTCCGCAAGAAGCACTGATTTCTTACAGTAGGAAGTCAGTGCTTTTGCGGAAATTCAAGCTGCCAGTGTAGACAGCTGGCAAGTTTTTCCAGAAAAGTGGCTGCTTTTCCGGAAAAACTGGCTAGTCTAGACACAGCTCCTCTGTGTAGGCCTTAGGAAAAGTAAAACTGTTACCATGAGTGCAATCCTGGCATCTATGGTTATTCATTCAGTTTGTCTCACTTTCAGAGTATGCATCATAGTCTGTTTACAATATGAACATCTGATATACAATTGTGTATTTCAGGTGTACACCTGTAGGATTATGCTTCTTTTATATTCCTTCTTAAATTACAGATTGAAACTGATAAACAAAACCAAAAATAGGCTGGCCCTTTTTATAAGATGCAAGTGATTCCATCCCCTTAAAGAAGTGTTCTGAGTAAATATGAAATTTAAGGTGTCTCAATCAACGGAGTAGGAAGTGGAGTTGAAGTATCTATAGCATAGAAAGCGTAAATGAAAATAATTTTTTACTGGGACTGGTCTATACATTTAAAAACCCAAATGAATGACAGAACAATTGTTTAAATCTTTGAAATTGGCTTTTTCAAAACAAGAGAATACAAAATTAGCAAGGAACAAAGATAACGCACCTCTCAAACAGTATTGGAAATACACAAGAAAATTTTCCCTATTGATAAGAATGAAGACTGGGATTGGAGGATGGAGGAGAAAAAGTAATTAATGACACTTTCAATTTCCTCTGTACCTGTGTGTATGGTAGTCTGATACATGAGTTGATGGAGGAAAACAGTCTTTGGAGCAATAAAACCTGCACTAAGCCCTGATTCCTCCAAGAAGGGTAGTCAGTTACTGCAACCCAATTCAAGGAAATACAATTCTGTATTACTACATGTTCAAATAATGTCTAAAAGTGATGATGTAGATGTGAAAAAAAATGTAAGGTGAACTTCAAATCAACTATATTTTGCTCGTTCATCCGACAAGTCGGCAGGCACATCTCTTTTCTAGGGTCTGTTGCACTTGTTGCTAGGTAAGGCATGAACCCTGTAGTTTAAAGAAAGCTTCTTTAGGGACTAGATGTTATTTTTAAAGTGTTTCAGATCTTTCCCACTTCTGAAGGTTTTTGCATCTGCCCCTGTGGCAGTTATCCAGAATGCTTGCTCTTTAAGGGTAAACTTCACTAAAAAAGTTTAGATGGGGTGGATTTTACTGCAGACATATCTACATTTACAGTTGTCCAAGACTTGGCTGAGAGAGGAGACACTGTCAGAGTAAAGCTATTGCTTTGAAATAGCCCACACAGCATCATCTAGGCTAGGTGGTGATATGGTTGCGGTACTCTGCTTCTGAGACTTTCTACCCTGAATGATTATTGCTAATTGAGATTTTTCTCAGGTGTATTTGAGACTGTTTCAGCTAACCAATTTAATGAGCTCTATGGCTTGCAAGTGCTTTCCCGTGTATCACATGTGCATAAAAATTAGATTATTGTAAAGCACAAAAGCAAAATAACTCCCTCACAGTCGTCCCTCCTTATTAATTACTTGTTAATTATATAGTGTGCTGCCCTAAAAAAAGTTTGAGATTATTTCCTTTATGTGGTTTCCAAAATGTTGACTATCTTTTAAATGCAGCTTTTATAATAATGGGTTGTAGCCTTCATCTAAGCATGATAAAACTGTAAGACATATCCTTAAATTAATAATATAACCTTGAAGTGTCATATATTGCAATTGTGTCATTTACAACAATGTAAAGTCATTTGGTAATTACATGTTTATCAGTGGCAAACTATTACTTCCTACAACTGCAACTCATGCTTTGTAATATAATTCAGGGCATGTTACTTAGTAAACTTATGATTTTTAAATGGGTGTTTCCTCTTTGACCATATAATTGCAGAAATTGTAAAACTCAAGAGTGCAATCTGAGCAATGTGTTAGAAAAATTAAATATTTTCTTGTTTCTTTTTAAATATAGACACTTGTAAGAGAAGCAAAACATTCTCTGGACTATTTTTGAGTATTGATTTTTCACATGAATACATACAATACATAATTCTATGTTTTCTTTCATTAGAAACAGAACACTCTGTATGTGAAAACAAAGATACTGTGTGCCCAAGGATCTTAAAAAATATGAATCTGAGTGTGCAACACAGGCTTCTTAAGTAGATCTGTAGACAGATTCTTGTTTATCTCTAGGAGCTGTGAAAAAGCTGGGCCCTGGTTGACACTTGATCTAAAAAACTTCTCAGTGACTGTACCGCTACAGATCTAGATAGCATGACATTATATCACATGAGCTGATAAAATGTTTATGCTTGGCTGAAGGCGTAACCAGTCTCACTGAACTGTTTACCAAAATTAGATGCTCCCAGACTTAAAACAGCCATAAACAGCATTTCTCAAACACAGCCTGGGGCTCCCCTTACATTGTGCTTTCTTTAAAGAGATCTCATACTTGCACCTCTAATTGTTTTTGAGGATGTAGGAAGGCACGTTCACAAGCGACAGCACTGAAATTTTATTAGTGAGATGATATTTACTTCCAGATAATTGGTAGAGATATTGAATAATACTGGGCCCAGAACTGATCTCTGTGGAACCCCACAGACGAGGGATGGGAATCCTCTGGCATGCTGGTTACACACAATACATCAGGGTTAGCCTCTGGTGGGCCATGATACGATTAGTTTACATGAGCATCTATAAGCATCGAGGTCTACAACTCCTAGTGTGCGCTTTTCTCCGTTCCTTGCCAATGGAAGCTGTGGAAAGCGACATAGGCCCTGCCACTGCTTCCTAAAGTACCCACTGGTTGGAAATGGGGAGCCACAGCCACTGGAAGCTGTCTGGCTCTGTGCCTGTGGATACTCAAGTAAACAAACCATCTGACAGCCCACCAGTGGCTAACGGTGACAAACCATGTGCAGCCCATTCAGAAGGCTCCCCACCCTTGTGCGCACCACCTTTTGATGTTGATCCCCCATTAAGAACATAAGACCAGCCATACTTGGTTAGACCAAAGGTTCATCTAGTGGTGGCCAATGCCAGGTGCCCCAGAGGGAATGAACAGAATAGGTAATCATCAAGTGTTATGTTCTTATGTATGCAGTTACCTTTATCAAACAAACTTGTAATTTCCTTGCAGAATAAAGTCAAGTTTGTTTGACAAGAGCTATTTTACATAAACCTGTGCTGATTAGTATTAATTACATTTATAGCCTTTAATTCCTTATTGATTGGATCCCATATCAGCTCTTTCATTTTTTCCCCCTGGGATTAATGTCAGGCTAACTGATATGCAGTTAGTCCGGTCATCCTTGCTCTTTTAGAAGTTTGATGCAACATTATTAGTCTTCCAGAATGTCCCCAATGTTCGAAGTTTTACAATTTGAAATGTAACATCAGTAGGCCAGAGACCTCCTCAGCTAGGCAATCTAGGGATGTACAGTATGAAAATAATAGCATTCTGAATCAGTTGTGACCTTTCCTACTGACTCACTGCTATACTTTGTGCAAGTCACTTGTACATCAGCTATAAAAAAGGCTATAATACTTACTTCACTGGGGTGTTCTGAGGTTTAATAAAATAATGAGGGGCAACACTTTGAGATCCTTGGATGAAAGGCATTATATGAGTTCAAAGCATTACTATTATTATAATTTTAAACTTTACAAGACATGTCATTACTCTAAGTAGAACTCAACATTCCCAAAGCCAGAAGGTGGGTCATCTTAGTATATATATATAAAGCTCTTTACGTGCTTGATCTTGCAGGACAAAGCAGATTGAAGACTGGTGAGTCTGAACTCATTCATATTGTATTCTCTTGGAGTATAAGGAATCTTCAGTTTTACTCATAGTAGCGTTCTGTTTGTAGTAATCTAGTGACTGTCGTGTATTTAAGGATAGCGAAGCAATCAGCGGACTTTTAAAATTATTTTTATAAAAGGAATCTTTGAAGAAAAAAGTATGTTAAAAAGTGACTATATGACCAATAGTGTTCATGGAAATATCAATGATGTGCCAAAAAGTCTGCTCATTATTGCCCTGATCTATGAAAATGTTTGCTATTGATTTAATGGGTACAGAGACAGACTATCATCGTCTCATCCTTCAAAAGCTATCAAGCATGGGGCTTGTTACACTGAAGTCCATAAGTGATAAGCCCTGACCTAGAAAGTGCTGGTAAAAAGTCAATGAGCCTATGTTTGGATGTGGTTTGAGTAAAATCTTCCATTTGTGTGTTTGACCTTTTACTTAGTAATATTGCAAACTTTCTTAAATTCTTCGTGTTTGCAGAGTTTGATTTTCAGACAGTCTTGGGTGCCTGAGAAGAGCCATCCTCATGCTACTAACACTGATGTTTCTGGGTCTTGCCGCCCTTGTTGGTGAGTTAAGGGACATTATTTCTATTTCACTAGTCAAAAGCAACACTGGAAAGAGATTATTGTAGAGTTGGGAGAATGTAATCAGATCTGAGTTCTTCTACTATATAGAACTGTAAAATCTACCATATGAGTGACTCTTTTTGCGGGTTTGAGGTTCCTTGCTTACCATGTAAGCATATTAAACTATAAATGCTAAACTACGAATCAGATACGAGACTAGAATCACAAAAAAATAACTTCCTATGTTTATTCTCAGCTAAGGTCATAAATGCTCTTGGTTGGCTGATGGCTTCAGTTAATTTCCAACTTTCTAGAAAGTAGAACAATTTGGTAATGCTAGGGCTAGTGATTCATTGTTTTTCCTTCAGAATTTCACTTAGTGCTTGCAACACTCTGAACAATACAGTCTTAAGATCTTATTTTATTTTAAATACCTCCCTTTAACTTTTTAGCTCCTTCTGCAAGTTATGGATGTTATGGTGATTTACATACTATGGAAACCCCTGTGATTTCCTGCAGGCCTGTACAAACCCCAACTTGTGGTAGGTAACATTCACTGCTTGATGGTTTGTACTTCAGGGCACACAGCTATTTGCACATGATGGAGGAACATTTTTATATCCTATTGTGACTAAGTTAAACTTTCTAGAGCTCCCTATTCAGTTAGTCAAGGGGGGAAAACCCTGTAGTTGCTACAAACCTTCTATTTGTGCTTCAAAATAAAGTGCTCTTTGGAGGGCACAGACAGTGATACTGAGTCTACAAAACAAACTGAGGGGAACTGCCAAGTGTTAAGGGCTACTCTTTGCAAATGTCTTTTGTCTCTGTCTGTGACGAAATGCCCTTTCAAGGTCCCACCTTTACAGCAAACATACTCTGAACAAAGAGAAGCAGACATAATCCCTTTCCAGTCAACACAGCTCCTTAATCACCTAAGCTTTTAGTGGCATTATCTCCACACAGGTGCTGAGCACACACATTCCTCAGCACTCCCAGACACCTCCTATTCTGGGAAAGAAGATTCATGGAATCAAACTTGAGTCTTGACATCCTGAGCAAACTGGCCATTTGTGACATGCCAGATAAATACTGTACAGGACAAGGCCCAGATCAAAGGAAGACAGCTCTAGAGCTGTGATGATCCTTCTCCTTTGGGTGTCCCGTTTTGGGAATTCTCTCCCAATTTCCTGGGCATTTGTTTGAGGAGATTAAGTTTTGTGGGTGAGAAGTCTTTTTACTTGCGCTCCTGTTTGTAAAAGAAGATGTGTTAGAAAAAGAAAAGGAAATTGCAGCATTTTATTTCAGCATGTAGAAAACATCCAATATTTTCCTAGTCCCACCGAGAGTCAATGCCAAAAGTCCCATTGACTTGAATGGAGCTAATATTTCTCCTCATGTAATATCTTGAAGATCTGAAGATAAACTTGGAAGATTAAGTACGAGGTGCATTGGTCTGTGGGCTCTATTTAAAGCCAATCAGGTTTCAAGGGGGAAGATTCCAATTTTTTTGCTTTCATTCCAATTCCCATTCATGATATAACTATGCCATCATCAGGCTAGGTAGAAGCTTGCAAAAGAGGCCTACAAGGAGCATTAAGGAAGGAAAATGATTGAATAGATAGCTCTCTTTCCTCGAAGTCAGTAATGATCCAATGATCCAGAATGCATTAAGAGGCTGGAGGTAACTTTTTGGAGATGCGATATATAAAAGAGTTCCCTTCCACCTTCAGTCATGAAAGATGCCAGAGCACTTTTGTAAGAAGAAGGATGCTATACCTATTGTCTTGATCAAGCTCCGAGTTGGATCATTCCATTTTGTGTATTTATATATCTAAATTCCCCTTTGCTATATTGATTGGATACAGTATTCTCCACTTTCTGTCCTGCATTATTGCCATATGCTTTTAAATAGCCGCTTTACTTCTGAGTAGAGGTGACTAGAGTGATTCCTGTATATAGCGTAGTAAATTCATAAAACTTTTGTCGCTGAAAATTGCTACATAGTGTTAAGTTATGTTAAATACATGTATCAACTGTTTTAAAGCTTGCTGGGGAACTAGACAGTTAATATAGTTTCCTATGTTGCTTTTTAAAAATACAAATATTTTGACATATTTATCTTTGTGTTGTTTCTTATCATTTTATGGATAGTTTTTCAGAAGTCATTTAGAATCTATGACCTGCAGGTGCTTAGCACTTCTGAAAATCAGTCTTGTCAATTTTTTATTGAAAAGGAAATATGAAAAAAGACAGGATCAGGAAAATGATAGGGAGGAAGGAGATGTCAAGGACTGCTTCCCCATCCCTTTGTTACTGATTCAGAGATATAGAAAGATATATATTTATTGCCTTCCAGATTTCAAAAACTATGAACCATATTCCGAAATCAATAGGATTGCACCTGCTTTTCAAATATGTTGATCCATATTAAATAGCTGCAGTTTTCTAAACAGAAAATGATGTATTTGGAATTCTAACTGTCATTGTAAAACTGTTAAAACTGATTTTAACAAAATTACATGCAGAAATCACATTCACCTTTGCATTTGCTACAGGTGTGCTTACGGCACAAAAGATTGCTGAAATAGATATTGTACGTCTAAGGGCCTATCAAGCCCCTATTATGAGGGTTGCCAGAAAGACGTGCTTAGATCCAGCACTGGTTGGTGCAATCATATCTGTGGAGAGTCGTGTTGGAGCTGCTCTTCATGATGGCTGGAACCGTGAAAGAAACCGATTTGGCTTGATGCAGGTACAGAAGGAAGACCAGAAAAATAAAACTCCCAAAGAGTGAAATAGAAATATTATGCATTAAGATGTCAAGCCACTCTGCTAGCTTTCTTTGATAGGATATCAAGCCTTGTGGATAAGGGAGAAGCAGTGGATGTGGTATACTTAGACTTTAGTAAGGCATTTGACGTGGTCTCACATGACCTTCTTATCAATAAACTAGGGAAATACAACCTAGATAGGGGTACTATAAGGTGGGTGCATAACTGGCTGGATAACCATTCTCAAGGAGTATTTATTAATGTTCACAATCATGCTGGAAGGGCATAACAAGTGGGGTTATGCAGGGGTCTGTTTTGGGACCAGTTCTGTTCAGTATCTTCATCCGCGCTTTAGTGAGTATGATTATTAAGTTTGCAGATGATTCCAAGCTGGGAGGGGCTGCAAGTGTTTTGGAGGATAGGGTCAAAATTCAAAATGATCTGAACAAACTAAAGAAATGGCCTGAGGTAAATAGGATGAAGTTTGATAAGGGCAAATGCAAAGTAGTACTCTACTTAGGAAGAAACAATCAGTTTCATACATACAGAATGGGAAGGAACTGTCCAGGAAGGAGTACTGCAGAAAGTGATGTGGGGTCATAGTGGACCACAAGGTAAATATGAGTCAACAGTGTGACACCGTGGCAAAAAAAGCAAACATGATTCTAGGATGCATTAACAGAAGTGTTGTGAGCAAGACACGATAAGTCATTCCTCCATTCTACTCTGCACTGATAAGGCCTCAATTGGAATATTTCATTCCAAGAAATATCACATTTCAAGAAAGATGAGGAGAAATTGTAGAAGGTCCAGAGAAGAGCAACAAAAATGATTAAAGATCTAGAAAACATGTGCTATGAGGAAAGACTGAAAGAATTGGGCTTGTTTTGTTTATAAAAGAGAAGACTGAGATGGGACATCATAGCAGTTTTCAAGTATCTAAAGGGGTGTTACAAGGAAAAAGGAGAAAAATTGTTCTCCTTGGCCTCTGATAATAGGACAAGACGCAGTGAGCTTAAACTGCCTCAAGGGAGGTTTAGGTTGGACATTAGGAAAAACTTTCTGCCTGTCAGGGTGGTTAAACACTGGAATAAATTTTGTAGGAAGGTTGTGGAATCTCCATCACTGGAGATATTTAAGAGCAGATTGGATACACGTCTATCAGGGATGATCTAGACAGTTCTTGGTCCTGCCATGAGGGCAGGGGACTGGACTTGATGACCTCTCAAGGTCCCTTTCAGTTCTAGCATTCTATGATTCTATGTTTCTATGTTTACTTTAAGAAATAACATTATACTTTACCTTATTTAGCACATTGGGACTGCACTTATATACATACTTAAGTCTGTTCCTGTGCAGGAAAACATCTAAGCACGTGCTTACCTGTTGTCCCAAATAAGGATACATCCTTGAATTGTGGTCTAAAAGTATAAAGAAGAGAAACCAAAAGAGTGGTTTTGTTTCTAAGGAGAATGAAATTTTTTGTCTCTATCTTCTAGATTCCTGTAAACTACAATTTGGTTCCTGTAGCCTGGAACAGTGAAGATCATATAGCTCAAGGTGCAAATATTCTAGTTACTGGGCTAGAGGATATAAAGAGAAGGTTCCCTACCTGGCAATGGCAACAACACCTCAGAGGTACAGTATGTGCTGTATAACGTCCAGAAGTTAAAGGGACACTCTAGAGATAAAACATGATATTTGCTGATAAAACATGTTTTGCTGCATTATTAAGATTTTAATAGCTGCAGATTTTTAAAGCTGAAATTAATATAACGATATGATTTACTTTCCACCGTGTTTTTTCAGTTTTCTTTTTGTATTCAATATGGGGGAGTATGACAGTTTTGTGTTGGACTATATTTTCTGGTTCTCATGCACTGCAGAGTGCGGTTGTGCTGGATTTCCAAAACCGTAGCAGACATTTTACATGGAAACAGATGTTTCCTTTTTATTGCAATTTAAATATCAAGAACATTTCTATTCATATTTCATCCCATAAAATTATTTCCGTAAAAACATGATTTATTATTTGTATTACAGTTCCACATGGAGGGAAAGGGGGCCCACTGTGCCAGGAACAGCACAAAAACAGACTCAACAAGCTTACAATCCAAACAAGTCAGAAAGGAAGGAGAGAAAAGAGAAGCACAGAGCAGTGAAATGGCTTGTCCAGTGTCTCAGAGCAAGCCAATGACTCGACTCTCAGTGCAGGGCCCTCACCAATAGAGGACAGAGTCTCCACCAAAATCCATAACCTACATTTGGATTCTTAAGTATCAGGTGTAGGTTTGATCTAGCTTCCGCTGAGCTGAATGACAATAATCAAGTGACTTCTGTGGATGACGGATCAGGCCTTAGCTGACTAGGCTATGTCTGCATTTCAAAGAAAGAGTCACATCACTGAGTCTTAGAGCCAGGTGAATTGACTTATGCTTCTGAAGCTCAGCGTGCAGGCCTGCTGACTTGGAGGGGGTGAGGAAAGGGAGCAATTGCCACCAGGCCCGGCGATTCAAAGGCGTCTGGGGCTCTGGCTGCCACTTCTCCGGCAGCAGTAGCAGCAGCCAGAGGCCTGGGCCTTTAAATTGCTTCCAGGCCACTTGCTCTGGGCAGCCCTAAGAGTTGGGGGTGGGGGTGTGCCACACTCCAGGTGGTGCTAAGGGCCAGCTGCCCTTGGCACTGCCCCTTCTATTCTTGGCACTACCACTTCTATCCTTGGCTCCGCCCCTTCTGGGAACACATTGCTGGGCCTCCCCAGTTTCCTCAGGGGCTGGCAGAGGCTGTTGGCTCCACTGTCGGCACGGGGGGCCCAAAACCAGTAGATAGTCCCACTCAGGCTGTAGCCTGGCCTCCAACACCCTGCTATTTTTTACTCTATAATGCGTGCATCATGAGCCCAAGTCAGTTGACCCAGGCTCTGAGGCTTCTTGCTGGGAGCTTTTTTTTTTTCTGTGTGGATCTATCCACTGGCAAGGTTGCCAGATAGTTTCAGCAAAAATACCGGACACACTTGACATTACATCACAATCTACATTACATCTTGTTTAGAAAATACTGGACATTGATATTTTCTCATTTATATTTTCTCAATTTGTTTCCCAAACAGAAAGCTCAGATATTGCTGTCCGGTTCAAACCAGACACCTGGCAACCTTATCCACTGGCTCTAATACTAAGACGGTGTAAAAACATTTCCATTGAGTCTAGCAGAGCTGAATCAGGCTTTAAGTCTCTCCTCATCTGTCTGTCTTAGAAGTGAACTGGATATTAAGTGCATGGAAGAGGTCATATGTTGTAGTAGAGTATAAGGGCCCTGGAACTTAAACAAAGACTCAGATCCTTTTCCTGACATGTCTTTTTAGACTGTGAGCACATTGGGGCCATTTTTGTACTGTACCTGTCACGGGGGGGAGGCCCATTCTTGATTAAGACCTCCATGCAGTACTGTAATACAAATAATAAATGCTATTTTAAAGCAAAGTTACATGATTAATTATGAATAGAAATGTTCTTTGATATGTAAATGTCTATAAAAAAGAAAGGTAGGTAGGTAGGTGATGTAGTTAAATTGTGAACACAAGAGTGGGAATGGGGGAGCTTATAATGAACAAAATGTGGTTATTTCAGGTGTATGTTGTATCTCATTACTTCATCCTTCATTTGTCCTGGCCATTTTAGAGTCTAGATTTTTTAAGGCAAATACTGTGTTGCCATCTGCATTCAGAGAGCACCAACCATGTTTTGGATGTTATTGCAATGTAAATAATAAATAAACAAATAATAAGCTGTTTGCAAACTTCATGCTAAGAATCAAGTACTCTCTAAATGCAGCTACACAATACCACAATTCGTCATTTTTCAATTAGATGGATTTTCACTGAAGCCACAATTTCTGGCTGAGATTTATTTGTTTTTCATTTGATTTAATGTATTTGTATTAACTACTTTGTGTCTCGTTTCAGGTGGGATTTGTTACTATTATAACAAGGTTAGGAACATCCAGGTCAATGACGGAATGGACATTTGCAATTCGAACGATGATTACGTTAATAATGTTATTATTCGAGCCAAGACTCTGCAGAATAATGGATTTAGAATTTTAGAGTAATGTCGGCTTCCGGCTCTTTTCAGATAAATCATAGTTCTCGTTATTATCAACTTGATCATGAGAGATCTGTATATCTGGAGAAAATAAATGTTTAATGTAGTAATCAAATAGTGATTGTAACCACAAAATAAATTGTTCCAGGGCTTTTCCCAACAATAGTGGAGCTGGAAGAACTTGTAAATTAATTCCACCAACACTCCATCTAAGCACCTATCATTAGTTTCAGTTTTTTCACTTGCTAGAGTTGCATGGACAACAGATGTTACTATAGATGTAGGAGTTAATTAATCCCTTCTCTAGGATTCCAATGGGTTGTGTGTGGGAGAAACCCAAGACCTCGGTGCCATTAGGCAAAAACAAAACAAAAACCTACAGGCCAGCAAAATCTTTACCTGTTGAGCCGGGGAGGCCTCTTGTACATTCTATTGTACAAAAGTGAGTTTGGAACTGCTCGTGCATCATCTAGATGGGAGGATGTGTGGTTTTCCTTTTATGTCTACTCTTGTACTTTTTTCATTCTCATGCCTCCCCTCCCCCAACAGGGAGGAAGAAGTCTTCAGCTCCATGGGCTCCTTCTCTTTACCTTATCCTGCTATTTTGTAAACACATTCAAGGAACTTCACTCTGTATTCTCAACCCAAGTTGATGTCTTTGCTAGCTGGCTCATCAATTGGCCAGTGAAGAAGCCAACCAGGCTAGTATACTGGAGGGCACACTGAGCATGCTCAGTATATCTTCTACATTAATTTTCATTAGCCAGACTCCTTCCAGTGGCAGATTAAGTTAACTATATAAGGTCAAAATCAGCTTTACATGGCCATATCCAAAAGGGAATATCTAGGTAGCCCAGAAGTCATGCAGAGCCTCTCTGGGGGGGACAATCCCAAAAGCATCCATTTAGTGAGTTTCCTGAGAACTATATGACAGTGACACTGCTTAGTAGTACAACATTGACAGCTTTAACTTTGTTGCAGTTAGATTGGCACCTTTGAGCGTTTAAACGTGGATGTTTCAGTATCTGCTTCACTATTATGAAAACAAAACCAAAGAAATACTCTAGAAGCATCTATTTTTAACTGAAAAGATCATACCTGATGTTTAAGATTATTCTGTTTGAAAGTTTATTTTTCATTGTGGTTATATTTGGATATGTACATTTACTGACTAAATGAATAAAGGAAAGTGGTATATTAAAATGTTTTGGCAAATGAAACAAGACTCCATCTTTTCAGTTTCATGACCAAAAATGGGCAGCAATTTCAATTACCTAGAAATGGTCTAAAATTAATTTAAAAATATATGGTGGGTACAACTCCTGAAGTTTCTCTGAAATCAGAAGTCTTAGTATCCCTTATTAAACATAAAAGATGTACAACCCCAGTGACAATGATAATACTCTGTGGCTTGTCTGCACATTAGAACATGAAAAAATATGGAGTTCCGGCAAATAGTTTTTCTCCCTCTGCCTTGTAACAACCTTTTATATACAGACCACAGGACTACTAATTGTTTTTAAAGTTAGATCAACATGGCTCCCCTTCTGAGACTTTCCTTCATGTTATATTGTGCAATGCACAACATACCCCAATACATGGAAAGAAATAAAGAATTTTGACCAAGAATGTGTTGTAGATCTGTACTGACAGCCTAGTCTACCAATAACCCTGCCCAGAGCCCCTAACCCATCCATCATGAAATTGTTTGAAGTAGTGCTGATCACTTGCATCAAGTTATTGTCCTTGGCCTTCCAGTACGGATGCTTAATATTCTTGACTTTGTTCTGGCTGTGGTGGAGCCCTTGCTCTGTCAGCTTCTTGGAGATGTGATCACAGACGATGAATTCCAGGTCTCAAGTCTCAGAATCAGCTTCCTTGCCTCTCAGCTGATTAGCGGAGTGTCTACAGCCAGCAGCATATGTTTCTACTGGTGGTGCACATCCACACATGACTTGGTGCATATAATAAATGTATTCTGCATGTGGATGGAAAAATGTAGAAGGAGCATTGATGCTGATGCTTGCACTGAAAGCTATGTGTGAATGTAGTTTTCAGACACAACTTGCTTAGATGAACAGCTTGGAGATGGGGGAGAGGAAAGGATTATGGAAAGGCATTGGAAGACTTGTGGTACACAAATAATGTTAGTCTGCATCAACACTGCAGACTTCCTCAGTCAGGGTGGGCTTACTCAGTCTTTAGCCTATGCCACTCTTAGGTAAGCCAACTTGAGTTAAAAGAATCACAAAACTTGAAAGAGTAGCTTTTGTGTGTGCACATGTCAAGAGTTTGGAGCATCTCTTGAATTGAAGTGAAGACAAAGTGAAATGGAGGTAAATGCTGACCTTAGCAGGGAAGAGGCAACTTGTGGGAGGCACTGCAGTAAAACTAGAACTGACAGGCCATTTTTTGCAAGTTTAAAAGTCACAAACATCTCATTACGAATAATTTCTTGTTTTATTTCATTAATGCTTAACCTGATTGAAAAATCTTACAGAAATCTGACCATGGGAATTACCGTCCAGTGTTTCCAAGGCACCTCATCTCCTTTTCTGGGAAGCCTGATGGCCTGCGTTGTTGTGAGAATAGTACAGTTGCACAATCTTAATTCTGAATTCTGTTGATAAAATGCATGGTGTGGGCATGACCTTGAGTCCAAGTTTTCTGCAAAGCTACTAATCTCACGGCAAGGATGTTGTGAAGTTAAAGGCAAAGCCAATTACTCACTGAATAAATAACAAAATTATATTTGCATAATTTCTTCCTTCAAGTTTAAAACAGAACTTCCCTGAACTGATGATTCCTGGTGACACTGCTACCATAAACAGAAATATTTTCCTCCTTTTCATCCTTGAGTTGTCTCTGCATTCTCAGGAAGTACATCCCAAACAGTGTGATCATGTATCTTAGTGTATGAATATTATTTAAACAAAAGACACACCAAATTGCAGGAGAACCCAAAAGTAGAACATCACTTCATATGCAGATGTGTTAGTTATCCAATAGTTACTGGCAGCATAATGAAAATGTTGTCAGTGACAGGGAGACACCCAAACCTGAATATCCTCACAAAAGCTGGAAGAAAATCCCCATTAATCGATGATATCAGAGCCAGTGATCAGTGGACAGAACCACAATATTGCCATAAATGAAGGTCACAGGCACCTTGTATGCAAGGCAGACACCACTTAGGGTATGTTTACACGTATAAGGGTATTTTGAAATACGTTATTTTGGAATAACAACTCCTGAAATAGCTATTTTGAAACCGCACATCTATACTACAGCGAAGCATTGAAATTAGTCCAAGGCAGGTTCCCTTAATGTGCACATGCTACCTTGATTTAGAGCCCTAGGAGGCACTGGAGAGTAATTACATAGCCTGAGAGGGGTCTTGAAATCTGCTTCTCAGTTCAGGAAAAGGGTCTAAGATAACAGCTAAATAAATAAATGGAGATTGCTTATCTTCTAGAACTGGAAGGGACCTTGAAAGGTCATTGAGTCCAGTCCCCTGCCTTCACAGCAGGACCAAGTACCATCCCTGATAAATTTTTGCCCCAAATGGCCTCTATAAGGATTGAACTCACAAGCCTGGGTTTAGCAGGCCAATGCTCAAACCACTGAACTATCTCCCCCAATAAATGCCAACTCCCCATAAATACCAACTCAGGGTCAAGAAAGGGTCGCGGTTGATACATGATAGATGGAGATGGACTAATCAGATCATGAGGCACAAGGTGATTGGTGGTAGCCTGGCAACATCAGAGGGTGACAACCTTACATGTCAGCAGTGGTGTGTTTGTACCTGTATATAAGGTGGTGTCTTGGGGTATCTTCTTTGAATGACCCAGAGGGGCAATGGAAGTGTTTCATTATTTTGAACCATTTAATTGTTACGGGATACAAATGTATAGTGGTTCAGTAGAGTCTATTGATAACTATTAATGTACTTTGCTTAACAATAAACCTGGCCTGGCACCTTCAATCTATATCTGGTTTGTGGTCTTTGGGGGCTCTCTTGGAGTCTGCTGTGAAGACTAAGTGCACGTGTCTACATGAGACACATCACTGAGCGCACACACAAGCAGCCTTCTGGTTCTCATCATCAATGGAGCCAGAGACGCATGAGGATATTGTGACAGTGAATCCTGACCCCTGCTAACTAACAGCATTGCTGGACAGTTGCATGAGTAACAACAGATTCCCACCCCACTGCACCAAATCCTGCTAATCCAATCCATCGTATGCCTTCCCCAACTCAACAACCTTCAAGGTAATCCAACCAACTCCAACACCCTCACATCCTAGATTGAGAATCCTCGCTGCTGTCGTAGCTGACAGCTTACTGTGACTTTGGCCATGTAAGAAATATTGAGGCAAATTAAATGATGATCTACACATAACTTGATGGCGTTTGGATGTTAGGAGATAACTTTTGAGCACCGTAGCTGATCACTTCTAAAATTCCAGGCATGTTCTAGGCATCAATAGGCAGAGATAGGGAAGTTAAATTTCTAGAAATTTTGAAGACATGGGGGAAAAAACAACCCTTATTTCCATGAAAATGGAAATTCTGGAAAAATTGAAAAATCTGCGGTAGCTATTTACTTATCAAAACTAAACTTTATTTACTTCTTCAAAATTCAGAATTGTATCTTGTGTAACTCAGCTAGCACATAAAAAGTTCAGTTTGGTATATTAATGAAATAGATAAGTATAGATTCTTTAGTTTTAATGCAAATAATAATGGTGAATATAGTTAATGCTAGGAATAGAGAAGCAGATTCACACTAAGACATTTAAATGCATTTTTTTTAGCTCTTGGCACATAAGAAACAAATACAAAATGTTGAAATTAGAAATACACAGGGAATAACTGGAACTATAGCTCATTCACAATCTCCATTCTCACACCCATGAACTTAAGGTTATAATCTTCGGACTCAAAGTCAAATGTAAATAGACCTGACCTGACATTATCATGCAGCTATAGACAAAACTCATGTTTTTAGAGAAATATTTATTTTACATTCTTATTGGTTATTATTAGAAAGCATTTTGAAGGCCTGATGGGCAGAGTAACAATAACCTCACCGCAAAATATAATGGACAAACTGGACAGTCCCTACAGGAAAGAATTAATGGACACAAATCAGATATCCGTAAAGGGACCATACAAAAACCTGTTGGAGAACACTTTAATCTCCCTGGGCATTCATTAACAAATCTTCAAGTAGCTGTTTTGTTACAAACCAATTCCACAAGCCAAATACACAGGGAAGAACTGGAACTACAGCTTATTCACAAGTTCCATTCTCACACCCATGGACTGAATAAGGATACTGGATGGCTGGGTCATCATCAACCTACCAAACGATGAAGGCAACAATGGTTCCTTGTCTATGTAGAATCTCATGATACCATCTATATGTTTTGTCAGTCTTTAAATGCTACCTAACCATTTGTTTGCTAATTAATGGTTCTTATCTGCCTCTTTTGACTATCTAGCCTTTAGGTACTTAGAAACTATTTGTTTTTCCTATTACATTCCAGTTCAGCTTTCCCCTTGATATTTTTTACCCACTGCCTCTTCTTCTCCCCCCCCCC